AGATTAAAAATGCTTGAAATTTTGATTTTTGTTTGTTGTTTTTTTTGTTAAACTAATGAATTGAAATCAGCTTAAATACGTAGCCGTTTAATAAAATTTGAATTAGACCACTAAATTTTTTTTAAAGAAAAAAATTTGAAAAATATTTGCGAATTCATGATATTTGAAAATAAAAAATTTTACATTAATTAAATGATAATATCAAAAGCTACCATATTTCATTGGTTACTTTTGGAATTTAAAATTAGGAAGAGTGAATTTAATAATAATAATATTTTAGATATGTATTTCATGTTCGCTTTTTGTAATATTTATATAAAAGTTCACGGATTGTACTTAAAGCTGATCGCAAAAAAGCCTACTAATATAAATTTTCTACTGTTATTTTTATTTTTTTTTTTTAATAAGAATATTTATTTTTCATTTTGTAAAATTTCAAAAAGATTTTATTTTTGAAAATATATTTCATAGTTAATAATTATAATAAATATTGAAAAAAATATTTTTTTAATTTTTCTGTTTTTGTTTTTTTTTGTATTAAGGTGCAAAAAATTTTAATTATTTCTTTAGAAAAATATTTTTTTGTGTTTTTTTTTTTCTTTTTGTAATTTGTGCTAGAGAAATTTATTTAGATTTTGTGTAGTGGCATATTCGAAAAATATTTTTATATAAAAGCCTTAACAATCACTAAAATTTAAAAAGCTGTTAAATAGTGTATTTTTAAATAGATATTTAATAAGTAAAGTGAATTTGTTTCCTTATTTTATATAATAAAAAAATATGAATTACATGTAAAATGTTGTTTTTATTTTTTTTTTTTTAATTCTATTATTTGGATTTTTTTTTATTATTTTAAATTTTTTAAAATGATAATTTAGTTTTTAACGAAATTTTTATATATTTTTTATATAATTAATTAAATACTGTTTTAATTTGGCGCTTTTGAAATACAATAAAGTTTTATGGAGCCTCTTTTTTTATTTTCTTTAGCAAAATAATCACGTATTTTTTAAGAATTTATGTTGCAAAAATTTAATTAAATTTAGATTTAATTTTTTTTTTGAATTTAAATTGCAATCTCAATAAAATATTAATTTATGAAATGTTAAATTTTAGAAAAGAAATTTTGTTATTTAATATAAAATGTTTGTATATATTTAAAATGAAAGTAAATCGAAAAATTCTAGCAAATAATTTTCGATTCTTTTTTAAAGTTAATAAATTAAGTGATGAATTTTTTAAAATATTAAATTTTACACGAAATTTTTGAGTGCTAATAAGAGCTCAATATATCTAAAATATATTTTTTTTTCATATAAATCTTTAAAATTATGAAAATGAATAGAAAAATTTTTAAGTGAATTTTATTCACTTTATGAGTTTATATTTGAATAAAAAAAAAAACAAATGGCACAGAAATCATCAATGAGTCAAGATTTTTTTTATATTTAAAATTTTGTTTTCTAAAACGATAATTTTTTTTTTTATGAATTATTTTACAAGTTATACAAGTTATAAATAGATAAATTTATTATAATGTTAGTATATATAGTCCTTTAAAATATAATAAAGTTTTTTTTTTTGTTACAAATATAATTATACAAATTAAATAATAATTTTTATGAAAGTTTACAATTTTTAACGATATTCGTCTTCCCTTGATAAATCAAGGAATCATGAATTGAGCAAAATATATCAGTTTAATAAACTAATTACAATATTTTTTTTTTCTATACAATTTTTTATTTTTTTTTTTTTTAATAATGATGATTAATTTTTCTCCATTGTTTCATTACAAAATTACCGCAACATTGAATAGCTGAATGGCGACTATCACGATCATGTTCATGAGAATGATTATTATTTCCGATAATTGATGTTGGCATACATTCATCTTCACCTGGTAAATGTGGTGTACTTCGTCTTAATGATGATGTTTTTAAATAACCTTGTGGTGCTTCAAATGATCTATTCAGTCGGCGATCATATAGGCCTGGATGTAAACCAGGTGCTGGTACTGCTCCAATTGAACTTGTACTAGCAACAGGTGGAAGTCTATTTTCTAATGAATTTTTTCTACTTAATGACAACGGTGGGGTAGGAGGTGGTGGAGTTCTTTGATGAGTTTGATAACTACTTTTAATCCCTTTAGATTGTTTATTTTTTCGAGGCAATAAAGGTGTCATAAATATGTTATCATAACCGGAACCTGTTTTAAAACGATATGCATTCATAAAATTTTTTCGTTGTTGATGTGTTTGTGGTTGTAAATATTGTAAATGATGTTGATGTTGACTAGCCTGCGGATGTCGTTCTTCTGAAGCTGATCTATTAAAATCTGATATACGTCGACTATAACCAGTTGATCCTGTACTTGTAATAATACCACCACTAACTATTCCCCCAACTCCTGATCCACCACCACTAATTACTGTTGGTCCAGTTGTATTGGCACCGCCTAAAGAATAACGATAAGCTGTATTCAAAGATGAAACTGATGCGCTATACATATTAAAATTATTTGGGCTTGCTTCTCGCCAAATATATGAAGAATTTAAACTATTATTTGATAATGGTTGTTCATAACTAGGTCCGGAGCATAAAAATGGTAACTGTGGATTAGAAGTTGAAAAAGCTCTGGTTGTTTGCAATTTACCACCACGTATTGGAAGACAAGGGGTCCATGGTTGAAGAGCTTTTGTTTTTTATTTATATTTTTTTTTTTATTTCAAACAAATTCAAATGATATTCCGATATTTCAGTTAATAATTATTGGCAAGATGAATGATTGATTGTTTTTTTTTTTTTGATGGAAAGATTATTTTTGAAGAGAAAGAAAAAAATATATATATACATACATATAAATTAATATATAAGATCGATTAGGAAAATAAATAATATTAAAATTATTTTTTATTCGTTGTTTTTTGAATAAAAATTAAAATCACAGATATATGGGGATGAAAAAAAAACAACAAAAAGAAATCACAGGGCACAAAATAAATTATAGTCAAACAAAAATAACTTTAGTAAGTAAATAAGTATTAAAAATAGTTAAAAAAAACTTGAATTTGTAAAAATGTAAATGATTTTAAGTATAAAATGTTTTAAAATAAAATTATTTTGTGCATTATTTTTGTTGTATGAAATTAAAATTTAAAAGAAAAATTATGTTTAAAGAGCCATTAATTAAAATGAATTATTTGAATAAGTAAGTGTTATTGCTAAAAACAGAACCCCTTGTTCAAATTTATGGAAATCAGGTTATTTCGTTATAGAAAGCCAATAATACAAACCAGGATTTAATAATAATACAACCAAGAACTGTATGTGAATTATTAAAATGAAATTTATTATAAAAGTTGACGATGTTTGTAAATTGAAATTATAAACAAAAAAAAAATGGCGTAAAAATTACTATAATTTAATGGTACTAATAAGATAGGTTTTAGTAATCCAATTGTTCTTACATTCAAAATGTAAATTTAATTTAAAGTTTAAAGTAATTTATAAGTACACACATATATTATTAACAGAGATTTGTGCTCTTGTAACCGTAATAGAAATTTTAATGTACTCATAATATTATAATGTAATTATTATGGAGCGTATTTCATTAAATTGCCCGATGGCTTTTCCAACAATGATCTAGTCAAACTAAAATTGACCATATAAATTTTCTTAATGAATTATCTAATTGTTTTTTTACATATTTTCTTTATTTAATTTAAATTCAGTTTGCTAGAAAAACTTAAATTAAAAAAAAATTAAATTGTTTTGCTTGTATATTTTGTATGTAAAACAAAAAAAAAAATGTTAAACAAATGTTATTACAATAAATTATAAAAAAAAAATTAAAACTAAGATTAAATTAAAAATATACAAAACTTATGAGTATTTTTATGAAAACTAATACTTAGTTCGAATTTATAAACACAATTATGAGCTATGTGGCTTCAAAAATGCAATAATACTGTTTTGCTGCACAATGCAGGAATTACAACTCACAATCTGAACAACTGTGGATTAATAACGCATTACTGCAGTTTCTCAGTCAAAATTATTACTAAAAGCAATGATTTGAAATATGAATAAAAATTATAATTTAAATTAAGCCAGCCAATTTATAAAATTAAAATCATTTTTAACAATATAATAAATAATTTATAAATACAATCAATCAAAAGATCATTAATGATTTATTTTAATTAATAATAAACTTATTTTCATATTTTCTATAAAATTTTTATTTTATACTAAATTCGAACTTAGTATTTGTAGCGTTACATTAAAAAATTATTATTTAAATTTAAACATCCTTTTCCAAATTAAACAAAAAAATAATAAAATAATAAATTATTAAGCTGGTCAATAACTTTTTGGATTTTATTGAAAAAATATTTTTAAAATATAAAAGAAATAAATAAATATTAATTTTAAATTAAAATTTGATAATCAATTTTGTTTTTGTTTTAAATAAAGTGCTTTATGTAGTTGGTTTTTTTTTTTTTTTTTTTGGGTGGATGCGTGGATAAAATTTCAATAAGCTAATTATTTTAAGTTATAAAATGAACCAAAAATCCATAATGATTTCGTTAATTATTACTAATTTAAAGAAAAAAAAAATAATATTAATGTTACTGTACCTCTCTAGGACAACAATAATAATTACGTAGTGTGTAAACACCATAATTAAGTAAAAAAATATGTACTAGTATTTTTGTAAATGAAAAAGAAACTGAATTGAAAATAATTTATCTTTTTGTTAATAAAAATATAAACTAGGAGATAAAACGACAAAGACATTTTGAATAAATTAATATTGGTATAAAAGAATGAAAAAAAAAAAATATGTAAAACATATATTCGACCAAATATTCGATAATCATAATGAAAATTTTATAATCTTACCTGAATGTATAGTATTTCTAGAATTGCTTTGATAAGCAGCACAATAAGCTTCAATTACCCGTAAAACAAGTGCATCTTCTTCGTATGTCGGTTGTACTTTACGACTATTACAATAATTAGTGAGAGTATTTACACTACTACCACCACTTGAAGAAGTTGGCGGTGGCGGATTCAATAAATTTGGTCGCAACGGTGGTGCTGGTTGCAAATTCGTTATACTCCAATTAGCTAAAAAAATAATTTTATATTAATATAAGATAACAAAAATAAATTTTTCTTTACCTTTTATGTTTCCTATTCTTCCGCTTTGTCCCACTACTGTTGGAGGTGTCTTTGTTATTCCGGTTCCCACCACTACCGGATGATTGTGCATTGGATTTTCCAGTTTTGAAATATTCTTCGATGTCTGGACTAAATTTGATTTGAGGTTTTGATTTTGTACTGGTGTTACTGTTGTTACTTGTGTTACTACCGCTGCACCCTGCCCCAGTCCTATCCCCTGATGAATTGGTTGTTGTTGTTGATGTTGATGAAGCTGTGGATGTTGTTGATTGCTGAGTGTGGAGTATTGATTGTAACTTAGGTGATGATTGAATGATAGGCTCCGTTTGTGTTGTGACGTTTGATTTATTAATGGCTGCTGTTGCTGTTGTTGACTTCTTAGGGTTGACTGTTGTTGTTGATTTATCATTCCGAGGTTTGCTGGCGGCGACATCTGTAATTAAAATTATATACATACATATAAAACATGGCAAAAAAACATATTTTTATTAAAAATATTTGGTTAATTTTTAAAGTAATTTATGAGCATTCACTAAGGTTAATTAAAAATTTCGCCTTAAAAATTATATTGAAAAGAAAAAATTGAATAATTATTTAATGATGATGATGACAATGATGAAAATCGCAATGATTTTAATTAGTTAGTTATTAGCTGAAATTTGTTACAGATTTTTCTATTTGTAGCAAAAAAAAATTTTAACTTTATGTACAAGAGTCTAAAAAAAATGATTTTTATTATGGTTTGAATAAATATTTTTAGGAGAGTAAGGGGCTCAGGCAATGCGATGATTGATGTTGACTGATTTAATTTTTTTAATGTTTAGAAAAACAAAAAAGAAAAACAAAAAAAATACAAATACATAGGTAATTATGTGAATTATTCAATTTTTTTGAAAAAAAAGACAAAAACATTCAAGCACACTCAGCTTCACAATAAAATCGCTTTTATGCTTTCTTTATAATTTTTTTAGATTGTTTAATCATATTTCATAATCATATTTCATAGCGTCCTAGTAATTTACAGTTTATTATCATAAAAGTGATCCTATTAAGCCAAAAAAAGCATTTCATTTAAGAGATGAAAGCGAAATCTGACATAAAAGTAAAACTAATAAATTCAATTTTAAAAAATTCAAGCGGAAAACAGTTTTTTTGTTATTTTCAAACTCGTTATATTCGCTTGCCTGAGCCTGAAACACCTCCATTTGTAGACGCAATTGGTTTCTGTTCTAACGTCTTATCACCCATAGGTATACAACCTTTATTTTGTAGTGATGTTGGTTCTGCCATTCGATGGCTCAGTTTTTGACTACTAGTCGGTTTTGAAATTTCGTCTGCTTTGGGTGTATTAGTTTGGGGAATATTCTGGGAAGACTCTTTTGCGCTTAGTATACCACGAATTACAGCTATTGGCAAGTTCTCCTTTTTCCACCAATGAGCATATAAACCAGTTTTAAAAACCCCTATTTTTTCAACCTCACTTTGCTCTGTCTGTGTCACACGAGGTTCTTTTACTCGAACACTCTGCGTATGAATCTTTAATGGCATAGGTTTGCATATTGATTCTACACTTCTTCCCCTAATAACATTATGAGTAACATTAGATTTTGATATATCGCGAGATTTTCGATCTGTATTGTTTTGTTCCTCTTGGTTTGCTAATATGGCTTGTTCTTGACTTTGTGTTAAAAATTTATTTCGAAACATTCCACAAACATCAAATTTTGCAGGAATATTAGATACTGATTGAGACTGCTGCAATTCGTTACCCTTATTTTCTAGAATATCATCTACAATATCTGTATTAAAAGGATAATAATACTCTTCAGGATATTTGAAATTTTCTGGAGAAGCTATAGTGCAACTTCCCGCCATTCCCGAATCACTTGAACGAGGACTTGGACATTGTGAACTTTCACAACATTTACATTTTGTACCAGGCTGAGATTTCGTAAATTTTTGATGAGTATTATTAGGTTTCTCTATATTTTTGCTACTGTCACCATCACCGTGCATTGATCCGGGTATATTAGAGTTATTTTGTAAATTCAGGCCCATTGAAATATACTGGTAACTAATGCATCTTCTAATAGGATTAGCTCCACTAGAAGACGTACTAGCATTCTGTTGAAGTTGATGCTCAAACTTTTTATGCTCGTTCGGCCGAAGTATTTTTTCTTTAACATCGAAGCTGGCTGCTTTTTGTAATACTGTTATATTAGACTCACATTCTTTACCTTCATTTTTTGTTTCTGAAGATTTTTTCAAATTGCTTTCTGGATTCTCTTCTGGTATTTCTCGATTTAAGAAATTATCATTGTTTTTTACTGGAAATTCATATTTTCTAGGAAAAGTGTCAAAATCAGATTTTGAGGTATCCGATTCTTCCGTAATATGACTTGGGAGATTGTTACCCTTTTTTTTATTTTGGATGTTGGAAGAAATAAATTTATGCATTTGAGAAGTTCTGGGAGATGGATATCTTTTGTCCATCAGCAAATAATTTTCCAACTCCTCGCAATCCCTTTCTAATTTTTCAAAATCAATTTCTTCTAATTCTTTCCACCTTCCTGAACTTAAATATTTTGATTCAGAAATGTTCTGCGTGGATTTAATTCTTTTGTCTGAATTAAGCGAATGATTTTTGAAAGGTGATGCTTCCCTAGATAAATTTATTCCTTGACTTTGGCGATTATCAAGCAGTTTATTCTTTGAATCTTCAACAAACAAATGGGAAGAGCTTCTGTGCAAGCTTGTCATACTACCATCTAAGTTATACAAAAGTTCTGCACTAATTTTATCTGGAGCCGGCATTATTGCTGGTAAATCAATTGAACTGGAATGTATTTCATTTTCTTTTACTAACATTGGGCTACTGTTTAAATGCTCCTCTGCATATGATTCTTTGTCAATGGTATGACAATTTCGTTTTACTTTATCATCATGATCCACACTTTGATTTTGTGTTTCGCAATCTCTCCATGTTGGTATATAAACTGCTGTTGAATCGGAATGATTAAAACGGTTTCCAACTAAATAGTTTGGCATACTACGACTTCTTTCACCCACAGTATCGAAAGATGTTGTTTTTGCATTTAAAAACTTACTTTTGAACTGAGTTTCATCATTAAGATCAGTTAAATTTTCACAAGCTAAAAGTTCTCTTGATGTTCTGGCATCAAATGATGAAATTTGCGACACATCAGAGATTTGTGGTTTCAAATGTGCCCCTGGTACGCCTATATTCAGACGAGCAGTGGAAGTTAAAATAATACTTTGCTCAGAAGATTTACGATTTAAGACTCGCACTGCTTTAGATCCGAATACTAAAGAATCTGTTTTTTGTTCAGTCTCATATAAAGAATTCGCATTTGTAGCTTTTTCATCTACATGTAATTGAATTTCACATTGAACTGATTTTGTGGTTTTTTCTGCTTTCGATAATGTTTTTTCATCATTTGAGGATCCTCCATGATCTATGAATGTTTCATAATGAGTTAATGTACTAGCAATATCTTTTGAATGCTTCTTGCCAGTGTAAAACTTAATATATTCAAATGGATTACTTTCACAAGATCCAGCTTCACTATCACATTCTGAGTCAGTAGGTAAATCTAAAGCTGATTCATCATTACTTTCGGTAAGATCACAATCAGATTCTTTAATTTCTGTAATAGAATCTTCTCCTATTGGCCTTTTTTTCATTCGGGTTAATGTTTTGCGTTTGCGCCTTTTGATGTCACTTGTATCGTATTTTTTATTTAAAAGGGATGGATATAATAAGGCTTTTACAATGTCTCGTTTTAAAAGACCTTTTTTGACTAATTGTCTAAAATGAGCATTTAAAGCGGCGTACGGAGCTGTGGGTGGGTAGTTTTTTGGTGGCAGCGTTACTGAAAAATTAGAAGTTTTTAAACTGTATGCATAAAAGGATGACCTTGCGCAATAGCCCCGTTTATCCAATAAAAAAGACGAGCTGGTCTACTTAATTTAAATTTTGTTAATTTTTAATTTTGATAAAGAAATGAAGTTTTCAATGTAAGATCACATAATGAATAAATAAAATAAACAAATTTGTTTTGGAAGAAAAAAAAATTATAGAAAAAATCGTTTTAATTGCATATCCGATTGGACAAATAAAAATTCCAAAACTTACATGTGGTGGGGCTAGAGGTGGTACATTGCTTATAGCGCCACTACTGACATTTCGTTTAATATTAATTGGCATTGTTTGTGGATTAGCTGACGTTAATAATTCTACCCATTTATTTGCTTCATTTGGTCCTTGGCAAACAGCTACAATCTTTTCAATTAAAGGTCCACAAACTTCAAATGCATTTTTTATTAACTCGGTATCATCTAAACGTCTCACTTCAATCCCGGTTAAGGGGAGTTTACCCTAAATTAAATAAATATTTATGAATGTACATAAATGCATACAACATGAACATTATATGCATAAAAATAGAAGTTTTTTTACCTCATAAATGAAGGCACTCATACGCTGGCTAACACTCAATATTAATAACGTTTGCGGAAAAAGGACAAAATATCTATCGCGATGATCTGGTCCAACAGCAACACTACCCATATGTATAATGTCACCTAAAATATTTGAAAAATTATTTAATTTTTTTCGTTTTTTGTATGATAAATGAGTATAAATCTACCTAATGTACTTAGCTCTTGTCCTTGCCACCCCCTTACTGGGCCAGTTAAAACCTGTAATTCTAATTCTTTTTGACGGCGTGTTGCAGAGCATGTTGCTGCAATATCTTTATAAACAGCAACACTTCTTTGTGTATCACCACGATCTGGATGACTACTTTCCATATGTCTTTCCAATTCCTGTAACATTGCGGAATATTTGTCTAAACGACGGAATGGTTTTGATAAACCTGTTGTTAAAACTAAAAGACCTGGGGAGGCAGCACCTTGTCTTTCCATAAATTTTTCTAATTCATCCCTAAAAATTAAAAAAGAAAGTATAAATACAAGTACATATTTTATAAATATTAAATATATTTGAAATTCTAAGCTCCAATACTTACTTATACTTATCCAATATTACAATAGCACGAGGATGAGCAGCGCAATACGCTTGATGAACACTCTTCATTACTGGAGCTTTATTTAAAAATAATTTTCCGACGCGATCATTGCATTCTTCAAGGCAGCGATATAAATTATCGTGTGTTTCAACTACTTCTATAAAATTACACATTAATTGAGCATATTCATCGTTGTTTAAACTAAAAAAAAAACATAAAAAGAAAAAAAATTAATTGTTTATAAATTCAATTTTATAATGTTTACACTAAATACAAATTATTATAATTCTATAGAGGGAATTTTTTTTCTTTAAAATAATTTTGATTTTTTTGAGTACATTTTAAGTGGGTTCTATGAACAAAATACAAAATGTGTTTCATCTAAATAAGATAAATAATCATGATGTACCAGACTAATGAATGCTTTTCAACATTATTTTGAAGAACTCGACTTAACAGAATTCGAACTTAATGAATTCGAATATTTTTTTAAAATATTAGGAGGCCAACTAAAAAAATTAGCACTCTTAACTTTTTGGTTAAGAAATTTACTGCAGTTAAAATGACAATTAAAAACTTCTATTTGTAAAATGTTTGATTATAAAAACTCCATTAATTAATCATTAAATATTGTTTGTCTTAATTAAATTAACTTTCGATTAATTACTCTGAACCCTAATGGGCGAAATAAAACAACGTTCGCATTATTTAACTGCAAAAATTTATAATGTATGATTTGATGACTTTGTGTATTTATCTTGAAATTAATTTATTAGTGTTTTTTTTATTATTTGATGATTTTTATCTAAATATCTAAAGAAATTTTGGTTTATTTTACATGAATTTTATTTTAAAATTAAAACAATAAACGTTGAGTTCGCAAATTATAACAATATGAGTAAAATGTTTATGAAAATCAATGTTCGTTTAAATTATTTTCAAAGATCTTAGAATAACAATATTTTTTCTTCTATAATTAATTAGGAGAGTTTAAAAATTAAATAATTTTCATTACAAATTGTATAACATTTATTATTGAATATTAAAATTAAATAATTTTTGTGTAATCTTGATATTCCTACATTATTATTTGTTATGACAATTGATCTTTTATTATTGACAATTGTGATTTTTCATTTTTGACAACTCATGCGTGGCTGGTTACAGATTTCAACGTCAAATCGACTTAATTTGACTATTTTTTTTTATAACACTTACATTTGGCTTGTTTGTAAAGGTTCTAAAAAATTTTCCAATAAACCAGTTATTTCGGCTACATGTGCTTTTTCGCTTTCTAATAAATCCTTAAGTACTACAGAACGATACTCTTGGATTTCTTCTGGTGGTCTTATTGTCTCTGATATTGGTAGTGCTGCTTTATATTCTTTAACATAATTGCTGGGAAACCAGCCAGTCTTATCATTTAAGGTACCCTCCCACCATCCACCCTCTTCACGTTGTGTTACAGTTATTATATCACCTTTTTTAAAGCATAACTCATCATTATTATCACCACGAAAAGGAAATTCAGCTTGAACTATTAATGGTTGTTGCTCCATTTTAATTCTTTAATTTTTGTTCTCCTCGTTTATTCTTCCTAAATTTTTCTATTAAAATGGGATGGCACTTTTATTTTCTTTTATAATGGCTGTAATCCTTTTACATTGATGTCAGTTAGGCTAAGGGATGGTGATGGTAGAATAAATCTGAAAATATAAGTAAAAATAGAGTGACTTAATAGATTATTTAAATAAACATGCATATTATATGATCTATAATATAAAAACGATTATAAAACTGAGAAATATAGTTACGCTTTCAGAAGTAAATTTTTCACAATAAACTACACGTAATAGGTATTATAGATTGCATTATATATATTGTATTATGAATTTTATGAAATCAGTTTGCTAGATTGTATAGAATCATTTAAGAGAAATTCAATTATTTAACAACATATTTTTTAAAATTTTTACACTCAATAATTAGTACAGACTAATTGACTTAAAAAAGATTATAAAACAACAAAATTAAAAAAAAAAAATTGATGTGACCAGCACATGATCGATAGCATTAATATTCGAAAATCTTATACTAAGAAACGAAGATCGTATAAAAAAATTTGTCGCCTATTATTTAAGATAACTCTTAAGAGTTGAAAATTAACCATACCTAGAGTTTCGGTTTCTGGAATGCGATTTTTACAAAAATAATTTAATTTAGGAGTTTCTGTACAACAAAAATTCGCAAACTTAACTTAAATATAAATTTCAATTCTAAGTCAGCAGAAAAGTGATGTAGCAGAAAATTGAGTTTTAGGATTGCAGATATAGAGAAATATAGAGAACAGACAGCCATTCATTTTATTCTGTATAGTTTATTAAACATGTAGATGTACATTTCTAATAAAAATTCGGCATATGAAATTTTCTACGATCTTAATACCTCTCTTGTTGTATGCAATGCAATCAGTAATTAAAAAAAAAATACGCGAATAAATAAACAAAATAATTGCGCAACTAGTCAACGGGAAATATTTTTTAAATAACATATTTTAAGAGCGTCAGTACTTAATTTGAAAAAAAAAAAAACAAAATGTAGTGTTAATTAAAAAAAATTACAAATGTCATTGTCAAGTTTGAATAAAAGCGTCATTAATTACAATTTTATTTTTTTAAACGCTTTGTAAAACTTTAGTATAGATTTTAAATATGCCGGGTTTTATTTTTTCATATTTTTATTTTTACTTGCGTGGCGACTAATGCACTAAATTTGCATTTTCCATTTCATTATAAAGTGCGAATAAACTTATATAAATATTTGGGAACTTTGCGATAAAGTGGTACAGGAATTTTTATGGTTTTTTCAAAAGTAGGGAAAAAATTCGAATTAATTTGTAAAATTAGGAAAATTTTTTACGATATTAATAATGTCACAAATTTTTAGAACAGAACAGATCTCTAAACAGATTTTGATAAAAAAGGTTTCTAGACAGATATTGACTACAAGTTTGCATTCTTTGCATCTCGCAAGAAGATGGCAGTCTATTCATTTTGTACAATTACTTTGACATTTCAGAAATACGATTATGAAATCCCTTTCTTTTATGAAATCGAATTTTACGTTCATATATCAAATGTAATCTTTCCAAAGTCTATAAATTCTTATAATTTATTGGGCTGTCAAGTTTTTTCTGTAATATGAAAAAAGCGCGAAAAAGTGCTTGAAAGTCTTTTCTTTTAAGGAAATGTTTCCTCCGAAGCATTTTATTAGTTATTGTTAAAAATAATTGTCTAAATTTTCATAATATTTGAAAATTATTAAAGACATAATATAAGTGAATTTTAATGACATATTAAAAAGAAACCTTAATTTATTTGTTATGTAATATTAATTTCGTTTCATTTCAAAAATTTATATAAAAATTTTCAAACTGAATCAATATTTAAAATAATTAAAAGAAAAAAATGGAACAAATTCAAAGGTCTTGCGTTAAAAATTCACATTAATTAATTTTCAATTTGACAAAAAATTATCTACAATTTTTCCTTTGAGTAAAATTTTTGTTTTTCCGCGATATATGAAACTGTTACCACCAGGTTTCTATAAAAGTTATCTCCAAATATAGATAATTTTTTATTTTTGCATTTCGTTCTCTGAAAAACTTTGTAATAAGCATTTATGTTTCGGTCACGGAATATCTGACCCTCCTCAACTCTTTTTTTGTAATAAAAATGTACTACAACTACTTTTGTATTGGAACATATTTCGGAACTTAAATATTTCTAGAACACGTTCTGCGAGTCCAATATTCCCTTATTAATAACAATGATAGGAAAGTAAATATTTATTAATAATTTTAAATACTTATTAGTAAGCAAATGTTAACAATTTATTTTGATAATATACGAAATTTGATACTTTTTTAGATACTTTTTAAGTAATCATTGCACAAATTAGTAATCAAATTATGTATTGAAGTATGATAGTTAAACGCTTTTATTAGTCATAAAAGTATTCGTTTTTATTAGTAATTACTGACATAAGTGATAAATACAGAATAATCAAAATAACACACGAATTACTTTTAATGAATATACACAAGCACGTTTATAATTTGTTTAGGTTCACTAACGCGCCATTCTATTTTATTTACGAAAGCTGTCATAATAATGTTTTCGAACCTCTAATTATTATACAATAATTCATTTGTTTACTAATTTTTTATTAGACTTTTAATATTTGATGTTTTAACTCAACCAAAAAAAAAGAAAACAAAATAATAATAATAAATTAAACAAATAATATTTGACAACGTAATTACATTTTTATATTTTGATAACATTAAACCTATAACAAATTATTTAATATTAAAATTGATATTTTTATGAATATGTTGTTCATATTCAGCACATAATACTGGCGATAATCTTTTGAGCTTATTAAATATAATAGAACACTTATATAATTAATTAAAAATCGCTTTTATAACACAAGTTCATCGTTAATTTGATTAAAAAACCAAAAAAAATATAAAAAAAAAATCTTCCTTTTTAATACAGAGGAATCTAATCAATTACAATTTGTTTGCTTACATTACAGTTGACATTGTATTGATTTTTATTTGAGTAAATCGTACAAATAGACTTATTATTTATGCAATTATAATAAAGTGTGCAGAGAGACATGCGAATTAATCCCATTCCATAATAAATTTCTTATTAACAAACTCCTTAATGACAGTTTATTTGACATAAATGAACTGTCATACTATCCATAATAAATTTATTTGATCTGAAGTTGATCGATTAGTGTGATCATTGCAATCATAAAAATAAAAACGCAAAATATTAAACAGAAAAAAGAAAATATCCGTTAAATGCCAAAATATCGATGTGACGGGAAAATCGATTCATAAATCGTAACGTCACTATAATTATAACTCTCACGCTTTTAAAAATATTAGGTAGAAATTTAATATAAAACTGATATATGTATATATCTTTTCCCTTTTTCATTTCTAGGAGGAGCATAGGGCTAATGCATGATATCATAGATAGTTAAGCCCCAGTTTCATTGCGTCATTTTCGTCGACTTTTAACTAGGTAGATGACTAGCCTGACGTAGAAGAAGTATATAACGGTAAATGGTTGCATGAAGACAACAATCAAAGTTTAATTTGACATTTAGTTTATCTTTAGTAGTCAAGAGACATATATTTACAAATATATATTTATATATATATATTAAAGCTCTAAAATCATTAAAAAATTATAAAAGACGAACTTATAGCACTACAATACACTATAACGTCACAAAGTTTGAATTTATTTATTTGTCTCACCTCTTAACTTATAAAAACAGAATGAAAATTACTTTATTAAAATTTACACGATAAAATAAATTACAATCATAAAATTTAAATGTGAAAATTTTATTTACATATTTGCATAAAAACTGACGATCTCGTGATCATAAAAACCATACTATATTAAGTACATATTTATGTATATACGAACAACGGCTTAATATTTTTTATATTTTATCAATTGGTTTCATTGAAAATTAAAATATTTATAACCCAATTAATATTTACATAAAAATATATTCGTATATATAAATATTTAATAATTTTAATTTTTAATTCCATAAAATTAGCATACATATATGTGTTTCTTTCGTATGTTTTTACAATGTATGCTTTCATTTAATGGCTATTTGGAAAGTGTTATGTATTTTGTGTAAAGTTTTTTAGTGATTTAAATGATCTGATCATGGGCATTACTTTTGGCCCTTTCATATACAAATACTCATAAAATTCTGACGTACATACTCGTATTTGATATTTTGACACATGTTTAGCATATTTGACATTTCTAGACTCATCACTAAAAATAAATTTTTTATTGATGGAAGGAACCACTATTAAGTATAGAAATTATCTTTTGTTCAATAATTTATGAGCAAAATTGCGTACTGTTTTATCAATTCCCCACAGTTTCCATGAACAAATAGTTTTCGATATTCATAAAAAATTATGAATGAATTTATACAAAACTATAAAATAATGCTGAATTTTTTTTTTCTTTTTTTATGCTGTCAATGAATATCACGTTTTCTAACTATTTTTAGAACACAGAAATCAATTCATGAATATTTAATAGAAAAATAATAATAAAAATTTTAAATTAAAATAATATAATTTTGATGAATTTTAAAAAGTATGTAAATTTTACTAATTATTTTATTAAAAATGTAAAAAAAAAAAATACAAAATTAATATAATCAAGTTAATATAACCAAAGTAAAAACTCCTTGAAAAATTAATGTTCAAAGAATTTTGCGTAAAAGAAGTACTCTCAGCATGAAAACAAGCGTAATAACTCAAAAAACGTAAGAGTGTATACTTACATCAAATAATTTTCTTTACCCGTTTTACTTACTTATTTAAACCAAACACAATATAACATAAAATTTCTTAGAAGAACAGAAAAACAAAGTTTTTTCTTGACCCTTATTAGTAGCTTCTAGTTGACAACATCATTAGATCTACATATATTAGACTGTGTTCTAACACGCATTAGATCACTAGGCTTGTTTTCCGAAAAAATTGTTTGAATTATAAAGATATCAAAAAGTATGTGAGCAATGACATATCATTACTATGACTAATAATCTATTTTTGAAGTATGCAAAAAAATATAACAAAAAAAAATTTTATTGTTAATAAAACATTTTCATATAATCTTTATTAAAATCAAATATTAGTTTTAAAATTAAGTAATTAATTATATTATTATTATAGAAAATATAGGGGTAGAATAAAAATTAAAATTACATAAGTACGTTTTACATATATGTATAAATTGATCAATTAAAGTAATTTTACAATATTTTTTAAGAAATCTAAAATTAAAAAAACGGGGACTCATAATCTCTTGTAAACACATTCGATGAAAATTATATTGCGTCAGCGTCATTGTATTAGAAATTGTCACAAATTATTAAATGCTATCACACCATTGATAGCATTTAATAATTTGTTAAAAATTATTAAATGCTATCAATTTGAAATGCTATGAATTTGAATTCCGATCCGATTCAAATTCTTACTAATTAAATAAGAATTTGCTATGTACCTACTTATGAGAAATTTTTAAATTGAAATTTAGAGCAATAAATTTTATTTGTGCTGAGAATAATAGTTTTTTTTCGAAAAAAATTTTTGTACATTTTTTGCAATAAAAATAATATACAATGCAGAATTTGCAATTAAAATATAATTTGCCTCCCAATTCTCTCCTTTTGTTTTTTTTTTAAGAAAGATCATTAAAATTTCAATGAAATTTCTAACACTATTTCTAAAACATTACTTTTTATATGTAGGTAATAAAAAAAATTAATGGCACTAAAAACAATTATTAATAAATTGACAACAAAGATATAGGTACAAGAAAAAAAGAATATTCAATATGATTCAATTTTAATTTTAATATTATTACAATATCACACCCCTGCGACAGAAATGTATTAACTCAAACAAAATTTTTTGGAAATTTACAGGCTGATTTTTTGTATATTTTTGCTAACCTTGCTAAAATTCAATATAAAAGATGAATTTCAAAACCGCAGCAGCTTTGATACTCGATTTTTCCACTTAACATACAGTACAGCTAAATAAAACCTAATATGTATGTACCTACATACATTTGATTATTCTTAATAATCTTAAGACCTAAGAAAACGCGATTATGGAAATAAATACTTATGGAATATGCTTTATCTATCGATATATATACATACATAAATATATAAATAACAAATATACACTTATACCTACTATGTGTACATTTGTCACAATAAAATAAATGAACGGGTTAAAAAAAAAAAATAAACAAAATAAATGAAATAAAAATGTACATAAATGTCAAATTTTATTAAAATTTTTTAAATGATTTTAAATCACCTGGAAAATTGCCAGTTCTAAATTAAGCAAAAAAAAATATTTTTGTTTTTATTTTCAAATTATTTGTAGATGAATTTTTTTTTTGAAAATTATGAAGAAATACATACATACATACATATGTACACACATAATATGTATAATTATTATTTCAATCTTACAGAGTGTACCTTAATTAAATCACATTAGAAAATTGATAAAAATTACTTCAAAAGCCATTGATTGAAATAAAAGTGTATAACTATCTTCTTCCACTGATCTAGTTAAAAATATTACACAAACGAAATGTTATTAAGAAATTAAAAGCAAAAATTATGTGGATTCTTCTTTTTCTTCTTTATTTATGTGGACTTAAAGTAATTGCATATCAAAGGTGAAAAAAAATCACAATTATTAATTATGATCAAAAATATGTATGGATGTACATATTTACACATATTTTTAAGTTTGCCGATGTGTCCTCTTGTAGGGCTAATGCATGTGGATCGCGTGGTTGTTTCTTTTACAACTTAACAGACATTTACTTAGAATATCATATGTGGCAGCTATCTAAGTCATAAATACATTCAACATGTCAATACATATGAATATGTATGTATATCAACTATTATACTACGATGCATACATACATAAGTACTTTTTATTTACATTGTTTTGATAAGTGTTTTAGTTTTTTAATATATTCTTTAAGACTATTTAAAAAGGCGTGTAAGTAATAATTTACATTACATCACCTTTTATAAATAATTATTTAATAAAACAATTTAATTGTTCCAAATCCAACATTTAGATTTACAAAAGTAAGTACTTGTGGAATTATCAATTTATGTACATACATACATACATATGTAAGTATTTGTTACATATGTATGTAGGTACATAAATACATATTCCTGAAATTTTACAACTTTTATCAGTTTCCTGCCCTTTTGCATATCTCTACTTATATACATACATACATAACTATATGTAAAATATCTTCAACACTACATTCCATATTTAACACATTCCTAATACAAATAATATAATGTCAATCCATATGTATACAAACACATAGCAGACGATAAGCAAATAAGTATAGCTTTCTATACTTACATATTATTTTCTTGACAACTATGACTTTTAAAAAAATTATTTTTTTATTTCGCTTATTAAACGCAAACGTATGTACATATATACACACGTACATAAATAAGCTTAAGCTTTTAAGAAATAAAAATTTATAATCAATACACACTCACTTACATCAATATAAGACATATTGAGAGTTCTTAATTTGAAATGTCTCGTGATTTTAAAATAATTATGATAATGCGTACTAACACGTTTCTTAGAAAAAAAAATGCGAGGAAAGATTAAGCGACAAAAGCAGAGAAAAAACAAATAAAATAAAATTACGTTTGTTTTTCGCTAAAATAATTATTTATTCAGTTAATTTAGTTATTTTAGTGTTGCCGCTTTAATAAAATTAATTTTTATTTTTTAAAAATATTCAATTCGATTACATCCATGTAGTGTTACGTGTGTTGGTAATGCACATAATATGTATGCAATACTAAAAGGGAACATTTACGATATTACAAATTGCATATATTTAGATTCGAATTTTAAAATAATCTAGCAATATCTGTTGAAATGTCATGAAGCGTGGCATTGTAAAAGTCACGAAAAGTTTAATTTTTATATTCTGACATTTTAAAAATCGATTCAAACAGATATTCGAAAACATAAATATAATAGGAATATTCCATTTTTAATAAGGCGGAAATTTCAATTTAAGTAACACAAAAATGAACTTTTTTACTTTGCGTAAAAGGTTAGAAATTGACTATCAAATATATAATTAGAAATAATTACAAAGCATTAATTTCATTTAAAAATTTAGCATTGAAATAAGTCTGGCAACTCTATTTTGAATTTCTTACGTGATGACAAGAAAACAAATAACAATAATTTTCATTATTATTCATTCATTGTTTATTCACCGGGCTACTTTTTTCTTTCCATCTTTTATTATTCTTATTTTTCCAATGAATTATTTATTAAAACAAAAATATTTTAAATGAATTAAGTTAACCGATTTAAATGTAGAGCTCTATGTATGTATGTATGTATATAGTGCAACTTTTATTTAATTATTGCAATAAGATAGTACTTACGTTATTAAAAAGCTAGGACATTGTAATTAGTGTACAATATTATGCACCTAAATTTAGTAATACGTACATAGCTCTATATACATGTACATACATACATATATGCATTCATATTTTAATACCAAATATTTATAGCAAAATTTAATTATTCATCATTTTTATTAAAATTCAATTTATTTACTATATTTTCACATTAATTTGAACTATTTGAAAAGGTTTAAATACGTTAATATTATACAAATGTATGTATGTACGTATATGTATATAACGCACCCCTAAAATAATATCGCCACAACTCAAAATGTTGCAAAAACGAGTTAATAGTATAGTAAAATCCGCGCATTCATTAGCTTTATTTTGGTCTATTCAACATTCTTCTATGACAAAAAGTATTCACTGTAGAAAATATTTTATGAAAGAGGGTTTTGTATGGAAATTTCAGCAGAAAATAAAAAACTGCATTATTTAGTCTTGTCCACCTTTAATTCTAAATATTTAATAACTAAGTTTGCTGAATATAGCTTTATTTTGAGTTATAGCAGTGTTATGTTGCTCAATTAGTAAATTATTTGCTCCATTTTCTTTTGTGGCACTTTTATATTCACAATTTTCAAAATTTTGACGTTATACATTGCCATAACAAAAAATGTGGCATTTTAATATTTGGAAATAGTTGTTAAATTTGTATTATTTTTAGTTGTGCCCTTAAATAAATCAATTTTTACATGAATTTGAATTATATTGTCACACAAATACAAACGCATTTCGTTTTGTTTCATTTTATTATAACATTTATTGAATATTATTGTCCATTATTTCATATCAGTGCACTTTATTTCATTGTTTTGTTGTTCTTTTGTTTTGCAAGAATAAACTTGCCGAGAAATATAAGACGTAATAATGTTAATTGATGCGAATTTGCTTAAAAGCAAAATAGAAAAAAAAATATTACATTAGATGTTCTAGTATAGTGCGTGTTTGAAATAGTTTATACCGTTGCACTTTACTTTTATCAATTTTTGTGGTTTTTTTTGCAAGAATGATCCTGTCGAAATAATGTGACGATTTTGAAGCTTTGTTGCTTTTATTTAAAAGAAAAAAAAAGAAAATACATAATTATTAGATAAAATATTCATTGTGTCGTGAGTGCTTGGAGTGTTTAGATTACTCAAAATTTAATTAAACAAATAAAAAACTATCAGAGCTATTTTAAAGGTACCAGTATTTTTTTTAAATTTAAAAAAGTTTTTATTTTATTTGCGTTCGTGTAGTACATTATCGTACTAATATATAATAAAAAATGAATAATTGTTCTCGTGGTAAATTGCTGGTCGATTTAGTGAAAAAATATAAGGAAGCAGAAAAAGGTATTTTTGAAAATAATAGTTATAAAGAATAATACTACATGTTTTTATTTTTCTTAAAGTGGAGCAAAATTTAAATGCAATTTCGGAAGAAAATCATAATATTATGCAAGAAGTAGCAGCCTGCACATCATCACAGAATCCAATAATCACAGAATCATCCAGTCAAAATTATGCTGGTGAGGAAATTATTTTTAACTATTTAGTTAATTTCAAAATTTTGTTCCTATTAAATTTTATTAAAATAGTTCTTCTTATTAAAATTATACCTTCTTTTATAGATTTTGACGAAATTTCAAACGATTTTAGCAGTGACGATACTATCAGAGATAAAACATGGCAGCCTGAAGACGATCAAGAAGTCAACTTCACTTTAAACGAAACGAATTTCAGTGCAGAAGAAAACATTGATCCTAACAAAAATAGAGAACACGAGAATGTAAGTGTAATAAGTAGAAATAATGATGGTACTGAGGAAAATAATGAAAATTGTGAGGGCGTTAAAAAATCAAGGAAAAGAAAATGGAATGTGGAAAATTGGAGCCAAAATATAAGAAAAAGCAACAAAAATTCGGGGAAAATCGTATACAACAATGAAAGGTAAAATAATACCTGAAAAAAAAAGTCAGAATAGCATGTCCAGGCTCTTGCAAATTTAAGTGCAATATGTTGTTTGATGAAACTATGCGTCAAAAAATTTTTGATAATTTTTGGGGATTAAGTGATTTAAGCCTGCAACGAAATTTTATTGCCAAAAATGTTGACAAGGTTGTCACAAAATACCGATATACAAGAGAAGGCTCCAAACCAATTGGACTGAACCACGCCTATAATTTTTACAACTCTGAAGGTGATCGAACTAGAGTCTGTAAAAAATTTTTCATGACGACATTAGATGTTGGTGATAGATTCATAAGAACTGCCATTTTGAAGATCAAAGACAATCTACATTCAATAGATGAAGATCGAAGAGGAAAACATAATAACCACCAAAAAATACCGGAAGATGTTTTAACTTCAATCAAGGACCACATTAATTCGTTTCCACGCATTGAAGCTCATTATATAAGGAAGCAAACGGAAAGGGAATATATTGAAGGAAGTCTAACTATCGCTGAAATGTACAGACTGTACAAAAAAAAGTGCGCTGAGAATAATATTGAACCAGCTAAATTATGTACTTATTCCAAGGTATTTAATGAGTGTTTCAATATAAGCTTCTTCTTACCAAAAAAAGACCAGTGCGCTTTTTGCGCTAAGTACAATAATTGCAGCAACGAAGAAAAATGCCAAATGGAAAACGAATATGAGGGACATAGGAAGGAAATAGCAAGATCAAGAGAACAAAAAGAGAAGGATAAAGATATTTCCGCAGCTGATGCTGAAAATTTTATCACAGTGTGCTACGATTTGCAATCAGTATTAAGTACACCATCATCTCACGTTTCGAATTTTTATTATTCTCGCAAATTTTCATCTTATAATTTCACTATGTTCAACATGGCAAGCAAAAAAGGTTATTGCTACTTATGGCATGAAGATCAAGGCAGAAGAGGAGCTAATGAGATAGGAACTTGTATATTTAAATTTTTAACTACTAATTGCTCACATAAAAATGTAATATTTTATTCGGACAATTGTATGGGTCAGCAGAAAAATAAGTTTATTGCTGCAATGTATATTTTTGTTGTTAAAAATTACAACATTAAATCAATTGAGCACAAATTTCTTATTGTCGGACATACTCAAAATGAGGGAGACTCAATGCACTCCGTGATTGAAAAAAATATAAGCAGAACCGCTAAAGCTGGACCGATTTATTCACCAATGGAGTGGCGTATAATATTGCAAAATTCGAAAAAAAAAAAACCCAACATATGAAGTTAATGAACTAAACTATAAAGATTTCTTGGACTTAAAAAAGCTGACCGAGGATTTGGGAAAAAACTTTAACATAAATTCAAGAAAAGAAAAAGTCAAATGGAGCGACATAAAAATTTTAAAAATTCAAAACGAAAATCCTAATATTTTGTATTACAAAACAAATTATGATTCTGATTTTTCAGAAATACATATTGTTGAACAGAAAACAAGAAAATCAACTTCAAATATTCCAACAGAAATGAGCAACGTGTTCTCGGAACCAGTGGGAATATCTGCCCAAAAAAAAAAAGACCTGACTGATTTGTGCGATAAATTATTAATTCCTGAAAATCACCACTATTTTTATAAAAATTTAAAAATATCAACACAAAGTGTTGAAGAACACAAATAAGTTATTTTAAAAATAAGTAACTATTAAAGATTTTGTTAAGTTTGAGCACCATTTTAGTTTGTTTTTCATATTTTTTTTTATTTATGAATGTATAAGTTGCCATACAAAACAAAAAATAAAATATTAAAATACTTTAAAAATATTAAAAATGAAAGTTCAAAAAATGTCAATATAATTAGTATTTTACGGTAGAATGCCAGTTATGTTTAAATTAAAATTTTTTCAAAAAAATTTGAATAGAATTTGAATAAAATTTATTAAAAAAAAAATAAAAACAATATTTTATGTTTTTCAAATGTTGAAACCATACCAAAAAAAACAAAAATTTAGCCACATTTCAAGTTGTTGCATAAGTTTTCAATTTTTAGTTTAGTAAAAAAGGACTTTATTTTCATTTGAAGCAAGCGATGTTAATAAAATAATTCTCCCATTTTAGTAAAAAACGGACTTATTTCAAGAAAATGCATGTATACCGATTTGGCATGTAGTAAAATAGTTCACAATTTCGTTTTGTTGCGCTTATATAATTTTTTTCTTGGTAGAATACCGCAATATTTGATTTTAAAGCACGAATTTTATTTCAATTTTTAATATAATAGCGCAATATTTTGTGTAGTGGCATCAAAATTCTATATTTTTTTGTAAAATAACACCTTAAACAAAATTACTACAAAAGAAAAAATTAACTACTTGTGAAATACAGCCATAGCTTAAAAAGTGGCTGTTTTCAGTTTCCATACAAAATTTTGCAAATTTTGAATCTTAAATATCTCGAAACTTCAAATTTTGGAATGTGGCGATATTATATTAGGGGTGCGATAAATAATATGTTAATTGCAAATGATAATAATGTGCTTATTGTGCCAGTATCTAACGTCAATATTTAATTATTGTATTAACAAAGAAAAATATAAACTTTGATTTAAAAAAAAAAAAATTAATAAACAAAAAAATTGTGTCATCTACAATAAGCAATGCGATTGTGAATAAAAATATAATTATTATACTTCGATATTACTAAGAAAGAGGGCGTGTAAGCAGAGAGAAGGTGTGTCAAAATACGTACCTTTAATATTATATTTGTACATAAGTATATGCATGTGTAATCTAGGAATGAAAATATATGCCTACGTAATTGTTTATTAAAAATAAGAATAATAATTTATTATCAAAATTTCAATGATAATTTTTAGTTGGTACAAAAAATTTTATAATTAAGATAAAAATTGAACTATAGACTTTAATCAATATGTAGAAAAATCGATTTTAAATATGTATGTAATGTTGTTCATTGTATGTATGTAAGTGTATGAATATTTTTTGTTACAAGCCAGCTCATTAATGTTATTATAGTAATTATGTTAATATGTTAGTATATTCACATATCTACTGCTTTTGCAAATAATTGACAAGTTTATTGCAAACCAATATCAAAAAGTATTTCAAATGTCATTTTAATGTTACAAAATATATTTTATAAAGTTATTAATAATTGACGTTTAAATATTAAACATCATTATGTAATATAAAATATTTTTGTTATTTAGAAAATTGTTATCACTAAATTCTTGATAATAAATCTTAATAGAAAGCGTAATTTTTTTAATTTCAACTCCAACTATGGTGCATATAGAATTATATAGAATTTCATAGAATATTATAGAAAATTTAATTTCTTTAGAGTATGTTTTCATATACAGTATGTATGCATACAAATATAAATATGTTTGGCAACAGAAATATTAAAATTATGAAAGTCACCTTTAAATTTGTATTACAAATTCATGGAATGTTTCAAACGAGCACTGTGATTAATCAATTGATTTTGCGAATTAAAAATTGTGTATTTTTTGATTGAAAATTCTTAAATATTATTATTTTTATCATACTTAATACTGATAATCATAATCACCTCAATTATAGTAAGCTCACCTACAATCTCATACAAGTATGTATTACACATACATACGTTATATTTTTATCAAATTAAATCTGTAGTGTCAGTAAAATCCTTTTGAGATTTTTTTTTTATTTTTTAAAATTCAAACAAACATAAAGATGTTTACTAATAGCAGAATAGCTCATAAATAAATGAGAATATTAATTTTCAAATTATTTAAATTTTATTTCATAAAAGAGTTAATATTCAACATAAATATTGAATTTAAATACATGTATATGTATACGATAAGTAAGAAAAATTATTGTAACCAACCAACTTGGAAATAAATTTAAACTTTTTGAAGATTTTTCCAAGAAATTTGAGACAGCAACATGTTCAAGATAAAAAAATTTCCCCTTTCGATATTTTTCGATTTATTAACATTATTAATTTTTTATTCTTCTTATTATTATTTCTTTTGATAACAACGAAAATCAGAAAAAAATCGATTTTCGATTGACACTTTTGATACATTCTTAAGTAGTTTTATTATCAAACAATTGAGGACGGTTTTTTGTTTTAATTGTGTACAGCTGAAGAAAAAGCAGAATACAATTTAAGTTATTTAAGTATAATTTTGATAAGATTGAAACATTAATTACCAAATAAATTTTTAGAGAAAAAAAAATGATTTTGATTTTAATTGAAAATTAAAAATGAAAATCCTGGAAGCTAAAAATTTATAAGAAATTCCGAAAATAAAAATATATTTCTCGATTCTTTTGAAGTTCGATACAAACGCTAAATTTATTTCAATTTAGTTTTTAATTCCTTAGCTAATATTAACTAGCTAATTTCGTTTTCATTAAAACAATATGCCAATTTTGCTCTAATACCATTTATAAAATATTAACAGTAACAACTTTAACACACTATTTCTCATTTGCTTTTACCATACACTGTACGTATACATATGATAATGAAAAAACAGAAATGTTTACAAGAAATGTTAAAATTGAATTTCTTTCAAGTTTTCTATTTAAAATATTAACATAGTTATTTAAAAATTCAATTTTAATTTTCAATTTTAACACCTCTGAATGACCTCTAAATACATTTTGAAATTATATTTATATACGCGGAAATTTTGCATACATATTACAAAACAATAAGCTTATACAATATACGTATACATAAGTATGTATACATGTACATAATTTTAATTTAATTAATACGTAGGTAATATTTTCCATATAATATTCATTCATTTTAAAAGCGTTCCCCTCTTTATTAATTATACTATAAAATTGTAAAGAGAAAAAGCACATTCTTCAAAGCTCCAATGTCAATGTAATTGTAAATCCTACATATGTTAAAAATGCATAGTACCTATACCTGTTGCAATAAGTAAATAACTCAAACGACAGGTGAATTTGTATGTACTTAATTTGAATCGCGCTTCGCGTCCCATCCCATGAGCTTATTGTATGCGCTCCACTTGTATACAGTCTTACAATTTTTTTTTGCTTTTCAAGGAGTCAGCTCATATATCTCGCATATAACAAAAAAATACATGCTTCAAGTGACAAAATTACCGAATATTCAGTATCATTTTAAGAAAGTTCACAAGTTTGTTTAGATTTTGTGGTTCATTGAATGGGTTGTAATAAAAAATAAATTTTATCCTAATTGTACTAAATATAAAATTTTCAAAAATTATTTAAAAAATTACGTCAAACGCAGAAAATGTAATAAAAATTTTTGTTTACAACAAAACAGTACGCGTATACAATATTCTATAAATATGTACCTATGTATAAAATTTACATATGTACATACGTTAGTATATAAATATATTGTACATTTGTACAAGAGGTACGCAAATATGTACCTACATACATACATACGTACTTATCCAAATTTTTTTTTTGTTCTATTTCAATTACTGTATGATGCAACATTCTCGGAAAATTAAAATAATTTCTTAGTCAAAAACGTCTCATTTCGGTTGAAAAATCATTAAGGAAATTTTGACATTCACCACATATTAATTTTATTTTGAGTTCTTTTGCTGACGCAAAGATCTTTGCAACAATAAGAAAACAATAATACTTAACTACAATCTTATTTTGTAGGTATATATTAACATACATATGTATGTATATATGTACATAAACACACATGCATGTACTGTTTTGTACGTTTTTCGAACGTAATCCACCTCCGAAATTGCCTTCTTCCAATTTTTTTCTATAACTTGTTTTAAATAATTCTTTGTTATTTATTTTTTGACATTTTCAAAATGATTAATATTTAAAATAAAATACAATGGGACATACATATACACATACATGCATAATTACATATATAGGTTTAAATATATAAGTATACGGTTGAGTACATTGAAAAACTTATAAATATAGTAAATTTGTTATATACGGAAATCCACATTATAACGTAATCATATAAACTATATATACTGGCTCTAGAGAAATTAAATTAAAAATGTATGTATACACGTATGTATGTATTTCCTTTTATTTTTCGACATAAGTACTTAAATAAATGTTTGAAATTCGTACATTGGCTCATTTCAACGCTCAAGTTTTGAGTTTGTTTAACTTTTTAGTCCATTCATGTTTAAAGTTTGATATGGCCACAAAATATTTGAATTTGCAGCATGCACATGCTTACATATGTATTTATATGTACATACATATTATGTACTTTGTTAATAAGACTATTGTTATACGGTCTTGTTTTGTATAACATACGCCCAATTTTCCTGAAACTAACTGCTGCTAATATAGTGATATATGTTTGTATTAGAACAATAATATAATTTTCATACACATTCCACTTCTAATTTCTGCATATGTTATAAAACTAAAATATTTATAGATTTCAACTTTTTCTATATTGCAACTGTTATAATACAAGCATAATGTGGCAAGTATTATATTTTTACTTTATAATTAGCAGCTTATATTAATGCTTACTTATATTTTCTTTATAGCAACTTATATTGTATATGAATGACCATATTTTTTGCCTTCAAATCGAATATTTCATTAAAAATTTCATATTTTTGTTTTATTAACCTTATGATAAATTGGGTATTAATTATTGACATTAATTCTTTTTTTTAAATTCCTTTGATTATATATGTAGTTATACATACATACATCATATTCTATGTTTTATAAACTTTAAACTTCTAGAAACAATTTGTAAATTATAAAAAATTTAAATAAATACCGTTTTTTAAACTATACAATCATATAAGTATGTATGTATTTTATATACATAAATGAATATGTATACATAATAAAATTATTTCTTAGATTCTGACGTAAATTACGTCA